TATTAAGAGACTTAACATATTTCTGAGACTAATTGTTTGTCAGCTCAACCAACATAGAATGTAAACACCAGAGAATATCCAATCTTGGTTATCCTTCAAAACAGATTCCATGTATTAACAGACTTGACATATTTCAATTTTTGAGGCTAATTGTTTGTCAAATCACCCAAAATAGAATGTAAACGCCAGAGAATATCCAATCTTTATTATCCTTCAAAACAGATTCCATATATTAACAAAACTTGACATATTTCAACTTCTGAGATTAATTTTTTATCAACTCACCCTAAATAGCATATAAGCTTCAGTGCAAAAGAATAACCATTTATTAATAGTCGTCTTTTCATAGCTGGAATATTGCTGAGGTTGTCATTACACTGCAATAAACACATACCTTTGAATGGCATTTAGAAGCAATGCACATAAAGAGGGAATTTATTGATGTCAGCTTCTGTGATATGAGGAACAGTGTGATATTCATCAGGGGAATGAAAGCTAGAAAGCAGAAGACTGCCATATTGTACATATGACTATAAACCTCCAGTGACGTCACTCTATTGTCTCGCCAGGTTCTCCTTTACAGAGTAAACTTATACAGGCAGATTCGTGGGTATTCTCCATGAAATCCCATGGATTTTCTACAGAATTGGCCGCTTCCCGGGTTTTTATGAGAAATAGCCCTTGTCTTTGAATTATTACTTGTTTCAAAGATAGATATAACTTTGTCTTGATATCACTGAATACGAGCGTAAAATATCACATTATTGAAAACTTCCAACATATAGTGCAGATTCCTGGTTTCGAACCCGCAACCCTTCGCCTACAAGCTTGGCAGTTTTATCTACTAGGCTACGAAGGATCTCTGTGAAGAATGAGATTGTCAGTATGAACCATGTGTTCCTCACAAGACGGGTAGTGTGGATAGTGCACGAGCAAGGCAAGGTGTTGGCTGCCAGTCGTATCCCACTTGATTTCAACAGTAAATACCAAATATTCAAATCATATCTAAAGTATATCTTCGGTAACAGTAAATACCAAATATTCAAATCATATCTAAAGTATATCTTCGGTAACAGTAAATACCAAATATTCAAATCATATCTAAAGTATATCTTCGGTTGGTTCATAAGTTGGATCAAAACCGACCCCGAGGTTTTGTTTGAAAAAGGAAGCCCGCGGCAGAGGGAAATGGTGTTGGGCCAACAAACAGCGCAAGTAATAAAATAACAAGGGAAGACACTTATTAAACATTTTATTACTTGTATTGTTTTCACCAGTAGGTATATAGCTGTTTGCTTTCAAGCTTTCGTTTACATGATGAATTGGGGCAGTGGGGTAGCCTAGTAGTTTAAGCGTTAGCTTGTCACGCTAAATACCCAGGTTCAATTCCCCACATGGGTACAATGTGTGAACCAATTTCTGGTGTCCCCCTCGGTGATATTGCTGGAATATTGCTAAAAGCGGCTTAAACCCAAACTCACTCAGTCAGTCATTGCCATATGATGAAGAATTAGTGGTGATCTGATTAATTGAAATAATCGAAGATTGATTGCAATGACTAAACGACCAAGCAATCGATCATGTTTTCTCATAATCGAACACAAACAATTTTGGAACACTTGTTTGCATTTACAGTCTTTTTTCACAAGGTTGGTTTTGTCTGTTACATTTCATAAGCACGACCAGCTTGTTCCAAGTCATGATTGAATTTATCTTACAGGCTCCAGGAAATATATGTTCCTAACATACAAATCATCCTTTAAAGATTTAATTTTTTTTATATTTTTTTGTTATTTTTCTTCATTTTTTTGTGCATTAACAAATATAACCAGGAAAATTTGATAAATGAGGCTAACCAATTATTTTCGCTAATAGATCAGTTGTAATGAACCAATCATCAATTGAGATTTTAACCAATTCCCAACACTTGTAAGAATACACTCTCAGGGCTCGAAAAATTCAAAAATCTGCACTCGCCCTGTAGGGCAAGTAATATGAACTTTCCACTTGTCCTTCTAGAATTGTACTTTCCCTATAGATCATGCATCACAATGAATATAAATTTATATTTTTTAATTTCAAAATGTTTGCTCAGTTGAATAAAACTAAAATAAACATTACTTTCTTTGTCTTCTGTACAAAATCCTCGACAAAATTGAATTGGTTCACCATTTAAGATAGCTGAACTTTAAGGAAAAAAGAAAGATGTTACTTTGAGTCAGAAAACGTACTCGTCCTCTAGGACAAGCAAATTATGTTTTTCACTTGCCCGAAACAAATTTTACTCTTCAATATGAGCGGACGAGTGGAATTTTCGAGCCCTGACTCTGTAACGTTTTCCTCATATTACAGATCTAGACATTCTTAGATTTCACATGTCTACACCCTTTCATTGCCATATTGGGGCGGCGGTGGGGTAGCCTAGTGGTTGAAGCGTTGGCTCGTCACCCCGAAGACCTGGGTTCGAATCCCCACATGGGTACAATGTGTGAAGCCCATTTCTGGTGTCCCCCACCGTGATGTTGCTGAATATTGCTAAAAGCAGTGTAAACCCAAACTCAGTCAGTCAGTCATTGCCATATGTTTATCATGATGAAATCTGTCAAATGCTGGTCTTTTCAAACATTCCTACAAGAGCAGATGTTGCCGGCAAGTACTGAAAGGTGAACAGGTGATGTAAACCCTGAATGTCATCAGACCATCCATTCATGTTGAGTCAACATTCTGTGACGAATATACTCTACATGAAATATGTTCATGAAATACTGTTTAAAATGAATGAAAACCAAGTTCTATGGATAGTCAACTTCTTTATTGCAATGACTATCCATAGAACTTGGTTTTCCTTCATCTTTACAACTTCTAAAATGCTTCTCAAAGAAACTGTTCAAACTGGTTTTCATTGTATCTCTCCTAACACGAAACGTTTTAAAGCTCTCTTCGAAAATACGTACTACCTTTTAAATTTGTGGAATATTTATCTTTGGTTAAATTTGGTTTCTACTAGTCCTGTTATATATTGTGAATTGAACCATATCCCCTGATTAATTCAATTGCTCATTTTTTTGTTCTTGGATATAGACTACTTGGCATGGATTTTTGTTACAATATTTTGCAAAAGAGCTTTACTTGGAACTAGTGTGTTATTTATCAAAAGTGAGATATGCAAAATGGAATATATGCAAGCCATGAAGTAGCGTAACACAGGTCATTTTGCCAAAGCCGCTTATCGTACCATCATTAGGCTATAAGCAGCATTGTCAATATGTATTGTGTTTTCGTCCCCACCCAACCCCCAAATCACTTAACTGTTTCAACTGAAGCAATTACAGTGTTTATTATTTCAATGTTTATTTTTTATTCCTTGATATGAAACATAAATTATTCCTCAATGAATATTCATATTTGCTATTCAATGTTCGTGAAACCTATCATTTCACCTCAAAGTATATTCACAGCAACCCATGAATACCGTAAGCTTGTCAAACACGAGTTTCCTTTTTCAAAAGTGCATCTTGTGATATACATATGATTGCAAATACTTTATGGAGCAGTTTGTTGTTACATAATCATCCAGGTATATGCTACAAAGAGTGAGTGTGCACCATCACAGGCAGGGCGGTGGGGTAGCCTAGTGGTTAAAGTGTTCAGGTTCGCTTCCCCACATGGGTACAATGTGTGAAGCCCATTTCTGGTGCCCCACGCCATGATATTGCTGGAATATTGCTAAAAGCTTCCTACAAGAGCAGATGTTGCCGGCCAAGTACTGAAAGGTGAACAGGTGATGTAAACCCTGAATGTCATCAGACCATCCATTCATGTTGAGTCGACATTCTGTGACGAATATACTCTACATGAAATATGTTCATGAAATACTGTTTAAAATGAATGAAAACCAAGTTCTATGGATAGTCAACTTCTTTATTGCAATGACTATCCATATAACTTGGTTTTCATTCATCTTTACAACTTCTAAAATGCTTCTCAAAGAAACTGTTCAAACTGGTTTTCATTGTATCTCTCCTAACACGAAACGTTTTAAAGCTCTCTTCGAAAATACGTACTACCTTTTAAATTTGTGAAATATTTATCTTTGGTTAAATTTGGTTTCTACTAGTCCTGTTATATAATGTGAATTGAACCATATCCCCTGATTAATTCAATTGCTCATTTTGTTGTTCTGGGATATAGACTACTTGGCATGGATTTTTGTTACAATATTTTGCAAAAGAGCTTTACTTGGAACTAGTGTGTTATTTATCAAAAGTGAGATATGCAAAATGGAATATATGCAAGCCATGAAGTAAGCGTAACACAGGTCATTTTGCCAAAGCGCTTATCGTTACCATCATTAGGGCTATAAAGCAGAATTGTTAATATGTATTGTGTTTTCGTCCCCACCCCACCCCCAAATCACTTAACTGTTTCAACTGAAGCAATTACAGTGTTTATTATTTCAATGTTTATTTTTTATTCCTTGATATGAAACATAAATTATTCCTCAATGAATATTCATATTTGTTATTCAATGTTCGTGAAACCTATCATTTCACCTCAAAGTATTTTCACTGCAACCCATGAATACCTTAAGCTTGTCAAACACAGAGTTTCCTTTTTCAAAAGTGCATCTTGTGATATACATATGATTGCAAATACTTTATGGAGCAGTTTGTTCTTACTCAATCATCCAGGTATATGCTGTGCACCATCTCAGGCAGGGCGGTGGGGTAGCCCAGTGGTTAAAGTCCCAGGTTCTCTTCCCCACATGGGTACAATGTGTGAAGCCCATTTCTGGTGCCCCCGCCATGATATTGCTGGAATATTGCTAAAAGCGTCGTAAAACTAAACTGACTCACTCACCATCACAAGTCCAATAAACATGAACACAATCTCAAACATGTTAAACCCCATGTTTTCATCTCTCTTCACTAACCACATTTTCTTCTGACTTCAGAATGATTTTTAAAGACTTGTACCTGTATATATGTTTGCTATTTCAGTTCGGTGCCCCCCTCCAGTGAGGAACCGAGACTTTGTAACACAGCGGTCCTGGTTGGACACTGGCACAGAGTTGTACATCTTCAACCATTCTGTCAACCACGAGGTAATCATCTCACACAGGCTCTAGGCATGGTATCCCGTGAAGGTCCGGGTTAGAATGAGCCTTCAGTAACCCATGCTTGTCGTAGAGGCAACTAATGGGATCGGGTGGTCAGGCTCGCTGACTTGGTTGACACATGTCATCGGTTCCCAATTGCACAGATCGATGCTCATGCTGTTGATCACTGGATTGTCTGATCCAAACTCGATTATTTACAAACCGCCGCCATATAGTGGAATATTGCTGAATGCGGCGTAAAACTAAACTCACTCACTCACTCTAAGCATGGTGAGATTGGCAGTCCTAGCAAGCTGGGCTCATGTTGTTCAAACCTTGGGAAATCCAGTTTAAAATACATCCCCTGCAGCCAATGGTAATTGTACGAAGTGGCCGACAGGTCAGGTGGTTTGGCATGGTGACTTCTTAGATTTTGTGTCATCATACCCTGGTTGTACTGACAGCATTGATGTTTGCTCACAATATTGATCTCTTGAATACCTGGTTGTCATGGTGACTTGAACATGTTGAGAAGGCATGGATGAGCGTGTAGTCTAAGGCACCACAATATTGTTGTGCAGAGCTGCCTCCTTGGACATGCCTGAGACTTGTGTCTCTAGGTTTGGCATTGGAAGCACTAGCTCATGTGTTTCACAAAAGGGGAAAATGTCTAAAGACTTGCCTGACTTCAGACTTTCCTCCAACATGAAGCTGACACACCATGATATATCTGGACATCGTTTTAAAGCTCCATTACACCAGGGCGGTGGGGTAGCCTAGTGGTTAAGGCGTTTGCTCGTCATGCCGAACACCCGGGTTCGATTCCCCACATGGGTACAATGTGTTTTAGAGCCCATTTCTGGTGTTCCCCTAAAAAATGGTATTGCTGGAATATTGCTAAAGCGGCTCACTCATCCAAACTCTCACTCACTCACTCACTCACATCCACACTCACTCACTCACTCACTCTCACTCGATATGACTGACATGAGGCTGGGATAGGCTCCAGTTTCCTTGAAACAAAAAACAGGATGCATTTGAATTATCTGATAATTAACTATCATGATGACAAAACATAAATTTTGTTTATATGATTTGATGTTTCCATGGTTACTGGTATACTGTAGATTGTTTGAAAATCATTTGATTCAATTTTTGATTCATTGATCAATGGCTAAATCTTAAATGTATTAGGAATTGGACTCTTGTGTACATACACCAGTGTAGTGCCCCCTTTCTTTGATGGAGATTTAAAAAAACCCACAACATTTTGTGTGCTATGCACAGTCCCAAACTACATCATTGTCATTATATTTAGAACATTATTTTAGAACATTATTATAACAGATTTGGTCAGTAAAAATGTGATCTTTACTAGGGTTTAACATTTCAGTTATTTTTACTCTATGTTAGATGTCGTTTTGGGGCAGATATTACGTACTTGTTGCAATTAGCCACACAAATTTTCTCCTCAATGTTCTGGCGATTCAGTAAAAAAAGATAACCAAACATAAAAGTATTCATACAGTGATTGGTTGGTTAAAACAACATTGATGCAGTGATTGGTTGATTCCAACTGAAACTAAAGTGTTGTTTTCTCCCAGGAGTTAATCACTTTTCACTGTTGACCCCAAATGTTTTTCTCAAGGGAAAAATATTTTCAATTTTTTATGACATTCGGTATTGTCAAAAAACTGCTGAAATAATGGAAGCCCTAATTGATACACAAACATAAACATTTGTCAAAATACATGATGTATGCTTGTAGGATGGCAGATAGATACAGGCTATAACTACAATATTCAGGTTGATATAGGACTGTATGCCTGGGAGGGTATTACAAGCTATATCACCAGCTGCATCACCAGCTGTCTCCTATCTCCGGACTGCCAGGCATGACATGCAGTATCAGTTGCCTAACATTTAACTAGCTTTTATATTATCAAAATTGATTTAGTTCTTATTTCATTTTCTATTTTATATACTTGATTCTTATCATACGAGATTAATTTATGGAACAATTGAAACCTAGCTGATCCATCTTGCAAGTTTATCATTATGTCTAATTTGGATAATCGCCATTGATATTTGTAATTTTCATATGGAAAATATTATATTTTGCTCAGCATGTAAGTTGAGTGAAATATGACACTATTCATGACAGAGTGTTGGGACATTTCTTATCTATTTTTTAATTTGTAAATAACTTGTGTGAACTTGTATATTTCTCAATTCCATTCCAGAAATGCCCCCCAAGGAAAGGTTTCATCCGAGGTATTTCATATTTCACGGGTTACATGATTCGAAAGCTGGATAACGACAGATGTCAGCTAACCTATATCTCCCAGTCAGATCCTAAAGGTAGGTCAAAGGTCAAAGTTAAACGTCAAATGAATCACCAATATCTTACCAGTGCATTGTTAATCTAACAATGTTAGATTCTATAGTATTTATTACAATTACTTCACCCTTTTTGCAAGTTTATGTTTTATCATAATGCCATTTGCTTGACTGATTTTGTGTGCTTTGGCAGTGCATAGTTGTGTCCCTTAGATTGTCAGTATCCTCTTATCATGGTTTGTAATCAGGATATTGTTCACACATAACACCTGTATATCACATGTAAGTCCCGTATATCTTATATAACACCTGCATACTACATCTGTATATCACATATAACACCTGCATATCACATATAACACCTGCATATCACATATAACACCTGTATATCACATAACACCTGCATATCACATATAACACCTGCATACAACATGTTACATACCCGGGTTCGGTTCCCCACATGGGCACATTGTGTGAAGCCCATTTCTGGTGTCCCCCGCCGTGATGTTGCTGGAATGTTGCTAAAAGCGGCGTAAAACCAAACTCAGTCAGTCAGTGTTACATATAACACCTGCATATCACATGTAAGTCCTGTATATCAAATATAACACCTGCATATCACATATAACACCTGACCCATGAAGATCCTGGGTAGAATAGGTCTTCAGCAACCAATGCTTGCCACAAAAGGCGACTATGCTTGTCGTAACTAACAGGATCAGGTGGTCAGGCTCGCTGACTTGGTTGACACATGTCATCAGTTCCCAATTGCACAGATCGATGCTCATGCTGTTGATCACTGGATTGTCTGGTCCAGACTCGATTATTTAGAGACCGCCGCCATAAAGCTGGAATATTGCTGAGTGCGGCGTAAAACTCAACTCACTCACTCACGTATAACACCTGTATATCACATATAACACCTGCATATCACATATAACACCTGCATATCAGATATGACATCATTTCAGACTTTCTTTCTGCATTAAACTGAAACATTCACTCACTCACTGACTGACTTATCACATAAAACCATATAATAGAGCCAGGAAACATTGTATTGTTGTACCTTGCCATAAGTCAACCTTTAACCCTTGACCTCGATGTCACCATTCATACCAAACATTGTAGGCAGATAACCAGACATTATTGTTATCATAGGTGTGCGATTCTGTGTCAGCTGAGACTCTCGTCACCTGACTCCATGTGCAGTAACCATGCACGTCACATGTACTTTATTACCAGCATTGAACCATGCTCCAGTGAATATTCATGCCAATTTAAACTATGAAGAAAAATCTTTTGTGGTTGCTGCAAAACAGTTCAACACATGAAATTGATGCTAAAAATGTGAGGGTTCCTTGTTTTAAAGACACTTTTGTTTATCTGGCCACATTGGACTTTTTTGTGATGAAACAGTCAGTCACGTATATAACAAATCTCACATTAAACAATGCAATTGAGTGGTGCATTCCGACGGTACTTGTCACAAAGTACTGGGCCGACCAGTGAAGATCCGGGTTAGAATTGGTATTCAGCAGCCCATGCTTGTCGTAAGCGTCAAGAAGCAGAATTGGGTGGTCAGGCTCGCTGACTTGGTTGACACATGTCATAGCATCGCAGGCATGATGTTAATCACTGGATTGTCTGGCCAAGACTCGATTATTTACAGACCACTATAGCTTTAACTTCTTTGAGTGGCATTGTTTAGAAGTTGAAGAGTAGTGTACGGACAAACTGGATAAATACAGAATAAAGAAGTTGTTTATCCATAAAGTTTGTCTATAGCTTTGCTAGAAAATTGCTAAGTGTGGCATTAAACAACAAGGTAACCAACTAACGAGTTGTGGGTCAGGTGTGGGGACCTTGTGTGTCTTTGTTTGGGTAACCATGTTAAATAGTAAGAAGCGCAAGATTTATTGAACATATGTTATATTTGGGATTACACTTTCTTACTAAAGTACAGATTCTAGTACTTTTACTAAGAAAGTGTAATCCCATATATAACATGTTACATTTGACCACTTTCTAAAATGGCATTGTGTATTTCAAAGATTTATGGATGTCAACTTCTTTATTGTGAATAACACGATGTTTCGGAGTGTGTACTTGCTCCTTCATCAGATGAATGGTAGGGAGTACAAGGGGGGATGTATATACAAGGTGAGGTGAGGTGAAATTGGGATTAACGTTGCTCTCGAGAATATTTCGCTCATATGCGTGTTTATGTGTAGGTGCGGCTGCTTGTACTAGCCCAGACTGAAGCTGGTTTTATAGTGCTAGCCCACTGAGATACCATGCCCGCAGTGAAGCATGAATACCCCACTCAGACACATTATACTGACTCCGAGCCGACCAGTCCTTGTTGTACCCATTAATGCCAAGCGCCAGACAGGGACCAACAAGTACCATATTTTAACATCTTTTTGGTATGACGCGGTCGGGGATCGAACCCGCGACCTTCCGCTCTCCGGGCGGATGCTCTAACCACTACACCACGGAGGTGGTCCGATATATATACAAACAGGAGGCACTACAAAAAAGACATGTATAACAAGCTTAACAATGTTGAAGAATGAATATGTAATAAAAAACATTCTTCAACATTGTTAAGCTTGTTACATGTTTTCTTTATAGTGCCTCATGTATGTATATACATCCCCCCTTGTACTCGCTACCATTCACCTGATGAAGGAGACAGCAACTAGAAGCATCATAACGCTACTCAGTTACATTCTACAGATTATGATGTAAAACACTTTGATACAGTCAACTCTCGTTAATCCGACACTTGTGGTTGCAGAGAAATATGTCGGATTAACGAAAATGTCGGATTAATGAAAATATCAATGTTTACTAAATGTCATGATCGTCATACTGTTGCATGCATATCAGAAATGGTAGATCTAGTTATCTTCATCGTATGTAAAAATATTCACAGAAATAAAAAAATACTAACAATACATACTTGTTTTCATTTATTAACATTCATAGATGGCATAACATACATATATAATCACATAAGCGAACAGTTTCATAGTGTGATGTTCACTGACGCCGGTGTCAAGCAGCCAGTAAGGCACACGCTAATTACCACTCACGTGTGATTGTTTGTATACGGTCGGATCATCCGACCGGCTGTGTTGATTGTCGGATTAACGAATGTTTTTACCATGTATTTACAACAATAAGCTGCTAGATTGGTGTGTCGGAGTCGGAATGCGAGAATGTCGGATTAACGAGAGTAATTATCACTGTTTTAAATGGTTCCCTAATTTTTTGTCGGATTAACGTGATTGTCGGATTAACGAGTGTCGGATTAACGAGAGCTGACTGTACATTAGATTTGAATACTGTATTCATCCTGAGCCATAAAATTCATTCCCTGTGTCATAATCAAGCAAATGTCCCTTCAATAAAAGATATTCCTTCTTTCAAATTATTTATAATATGAAAATATTAGCTGGATTGTTTGCAATTAAAAACATGTCAAATACGTAGAAACCAAAGGGGATTCTGGGTTAGAAAAGTCCCAGCAGCCTTTGCTGGTCATTAGACGTTATTTGGTGGATCAAGTGGTCAGGCCCAGTGACTTGGTTGCTTTAGTATTGATCAGTTGATTGTCTGGTCCAGACTTGAGTATTTACAGGTGGAAGTCTGTTGCTGGAATACTGCTTAGTTTAGCATTAACCAACATAACATATACACCCTTTTTGATTGCCTGCCTCACCATATGTGACTTATGATGAAAGCTATCAAATGCTGTTTTTCAAACATTCCAATTTTAGCAGATGTTGCTACAAACAAAAACAACTATGCATAATTCCTGCATCATGACCAAGTCTGAAATAGCTGAGTTTTGTGACCCAACTCTGTATTCTTGTCCATTTAATTCCTTTACTTCAACATTATCTCCCTACTGATTCTCTGTCTATGATTGTATGGAATTAATCAACTCCCGTCATGCTCTCACACATGCATTTGCAATGCCAATTGCTACACCATAGCCCTCACTCCCTCCCTGACTCAACCCGTGAAGATCCGGGGTAGAATAGGTCTTCAGCAACCCATGCTTGCCACAAAAGGCGACTAAGCTTGTCGTAAGAGGCGACTAACGGGATCGGGTGGTCAGGCTCGCTGACTTGGTTTACACAATTGCGCAGATCGATGCTCATGCTGTTGATCACTGGATTGGTCTGGTCCAGACTGGATTATTGACAGACCGCCACCATAAAGCTGGAATATTGCTGAATGCAGCATAAAACTAAACTCACTCACTCCAAACCACACACACTGCAACACACAATAATAAATGTAATGTTAACCACACTTCACCCCTTTCACTCACTCGAAGTTGACCTGTACCATAAACTGTAACCATGTAATGTGAGTGATGGATTGCTTGTTTTAGAATTTCTGTTTGTAAATAATGTAATTGAATATAGTTGTTGTTTTTGTTGTTGTTTTAAAATTCTTTTGAACTTTGTATCTAAAATGTGTATGAATTCAGACTTAATCTCATCACTATATCAGTATATGGCTGGAATAATGCAGATGTGATGTAAAACCCAGCTCAACAACTCAACCTTTCACTCACTCACTCACTCACTCCAAACCTCACACATTGAAACACACAATAATAAATGTCATGTTAACCACAATTTACTCCTTTCACTCACTCACTCACTCACTCACTCCAAACCTCACACACTGAAACACACACAACTATATATGTCATGTTAGCCACACTTCACCACCTCCTTCACATTGGTGGTTTTGTATGTTTCAGGCAAGTTGCCATCATGGGCTGTGAACAAGCTGACACACATGCTGGCTCCAAAGGTGGGTGGTGTCTATTGTTATTGTCAGCCATTCTCAGCCATTCATAGGTCATTTGTGGCCTCCAGGAAGAGACCGTCTGACATTATGGAATTATTTCAACTCAAGTATAACATATGTTGTTTGAAAATTACCCATTTAAAGACCACTGTCAACGTGACAATTTGCCAATGATTGAGGTTTTATGTGGCCTTTTATACATTAGGTTTTATGTGGCCTTTTCTCGCGCCTTTTTTTCATTAGGTTTTCTGCTAGTAGTTATTGCATTGTTGTGAACAATGATGTTTAGTTCAACGAATAATTATTGGTTGTGGTTGGTGTGGTACATCATAAATTCTTAGTGCTGCTGTAAAGTCATACATGTTGTAATGTTATTCAAAACTGTATCGATATTTAGTTTTGAAAGTATCGGTTTAAATATGTTTATGTATTGTTTACATTTTGCAATTGTGTCATGTTTTTTGATGTTATGAGAGTTATAAATTATTATTTTTCATTCACAAAGATGGCAAATTTGAATCTCTGAGAATAAAACAAAGTTGATCTTTCATGGACAATTATAAAATATGAAATATTAATGTTCAAAATGTAACTAAATTTACGCAATAATACCACGAAAATAGGTATCGTGATATGCATCGAATCGTGACATGGGTATCATGATACGTATTGATTCATGAAACTTATGTATCGTGACATCCCTATTAAAGGGCAGGTCATGTATGATAGGGGGAGGGAGGGGCAGTGAGATTTGGGTTAGGACAGTGTTGCATATGGCTGCTACTCCCCTCTCCCCCTTCTCCCTCAGTGACACATTTTCATAATCTCTATCCTCTTTATTTTTGTCATTTTTTCATGACATGACCACCCCCCTGTCCCTCTTAATCTGGGGCATTCGATTGGATAACCAGGCAATGTTGTGAGCCAGATTTACAAAGGTGTAAGGCGTTTTGTAGTGTTAAAGGACAGGTCATGTATTATAGGGGGTAGAGGGCAGTGGCATCAGTCTTCAGACTTTCTATCTCCCTCCCTTCCATCATGGTAATTTTTTGCAACCCCATTCCCATTTTGCAATGTTTTTTCTTTCCCAGGTTGAGCCAGATTTACAAAGTTGTAAAATGTGTTGTTATGTTAAAGGACATGTCATGTATTATAGGGACTGTGAGATTAGTGTTCGGTCTGTATTGTATCCTCCCCTTCTCGCTCCCTTCCACCATGGTACTTGTTTGCAAGTCCTATCCACTTTTTAAGTGTTGTTTTTGCTTTCCCAGGTTGTGAGTCGGATTTACAAAGTTGTAAAATGTGTTGTTATGTTAAAGGACAGGTCATGTATTATAGGGGCTGTGAGATTAGTGTTCGGTCTGTATTGTATCCTCCCCATCTTGCTCCCTTCCACCATGGTACTTGTTTGCAAGTCCTATCCACTTTTTAAGTGTTGTTTTTTCTTTCCCAGGTTGTGAGTCGGATTTACAAAGTTGTAAAATGTGTTGTTATGTTAAAGGACAGGTCATGTATTATAGGGGCTGTGAAGTCGGTCTTCGGACTTATTGTATCCTCCCAATCTTGCTCCCTTCCACCATGGTACTTGTTTGCAATTCCTATTCCCTTTTTAAGTGTTGATTTTTCTTTCCCAGGTTGTGAGTCGGATTTACAAAGCTTGTAAGAAATACAAAGACTGGAAGAGCAAGAACAACCCTCACTTTAAACCTTGGCTCAATGCGGAGCAGATGATGAGTAACCTGCCTCGTCTTGACCCTGCCGCCATCAAGCCCATCAATGCCGGTATTTCACAAGAGTCTCTTGATGAAGAAGAAGACATAAACGAGGAGGATATACGAATGGAAGATTTTTAGCTTTAGTTGTAGTCAGAGTGTTGTATTATATCAATGACTGGGACCAAGGGTAAATTTGAGGGACATTATCACCAACCATCTTGAAAACCAATACACCTTGTCTATAAAGCAGTAGCCTTATGTACTGTTTACAGAGGCTGACCTGGTCTAAATCACAGACAACAGGCATCTGCTGATGACATTTCATAAGATCAATGGCCAATTCTGAGAAGTGGAAGAGAAACATAACTTTTGTAAAAACTAATATTTAGGACTGTTAAACATGTGAAAGATAGACTACTGACTTATTTTGGGGTCTTGATTTCAGTCTTAATGTCAGACATTTTTCGGATCAATATCTGTTTTTGTTGGCACTTTGAAGATCTTAGCACCAAGGGCACCTGTCAATATGTCTTGGCACCTGTCATTGTCTGTGAAGATCTTAGCACCAAGGGCACCTGTCAATATGTCTTGGCACCTGTCATTGTCTGTGAAGATCTTAGCACCAAGGGCACCTGTCAATATGTCTTGGCACCTGTCATTGTCTGTGAAGTCTTAGCACCAAGGGCACCTGCCATTGTATTTGAAGCTCTTAGCAAAATGGGCACCTGGTATTGTGTGAGGGAGTCCGAGCTACAAGGGCACCTGTCATCATTTGTCATCAGCATGTGTCTTTGTCTGTGTAGACCAGGGTAGCATGCTCTTTGTTTCCTACTCTCTGTAGTTCTCATAATTTCATAGCAATAAGGGGAGAGGTTTGGGTTGTGGAATGCTTTTTAGAAAATGTCACATGACAAACCATTTTCCCAAAATCAGCATTTACGTGAGTCACCTTGATATTATCCAAAAGTTTTGATTCCTTACGGAAAGTAATAAGGTGTGGAACACACAGCTATTAATCATTGTTTTGGTTCTCAGGCAGTGGCAAAAGCACCCCACATGAATATACATTTTGACTCTAATCAACACATAATTAATAATTATCACCAGTAAGCACTAATTATTCAAAAGTCATTGCCTGGTAACCAATACTTTTTTAATCAACAGCATAATAGATAATATAGTGTACACATCAATAACTTCAACTTTTATGTGTGAAATTTTACTTGGGATTGGAATCATGTTGAAAAGGTACCAGTACCCACTGTTTATTACCTGGGGAGCACTGTCTTTTAGAGAGACAAGGTGTTAGTCTTTTCATCTTCAGAAGATGCCATTATTTTTCTTGAAAAAGGGGAACAGAACAATTCAATTCCTTTTGAAACACAATTCTTTTTCAGGACATAGAGTTCTATCATTGATTGTAAATATCTTTTTTTGAAAAGCCTAGGGACCAATGAGTTTTGAAATAAATTTCAAGGTTCATCGAAGTTGGGTCTCTCTGGGACCCTAAAGGAATACACATTCCTTATCCACAAATATTACATGATGAGGTTTTTAAGATGTGAATCTACTGGAAATCACCTTGTTGACATGGACTATTTCATATCATTTGTGTTGGAGAAAGTTAATTGTAGCAGTTTTCATCATAAATTGCCATGTCATCAGAAAATAATTGCTTAATCAGCACAAAAAATGTTTTGTCATCTTGGGGTAATTGCATATTGTTATATATGAATGTTAGCACTATACTTGATCTTGTAGGTTACACTGGAGTGGTAAATGTCAAACACATCCACCATTCTAGGCTCCCTACTACACTGTCACTGTGATACAAGAGAAATATGTTAGATGTGAATTTAAACCCAACTTTCTCATTACTCATGGACGGAAAGGCCTTGGTCTTTCTCCAACTGTACATTAATGTTTTGAGCAGATTACTTTAAACTATATACATACTGTTTTAACTTATCTACTGTCTCAGTACATCGTTTCTTTCAATTGTCCGAGAGAGATTGTATATAATCAAGACTTACACTTGCCTCTTGTAAACCTATACTGATTATCCGTTACAGCCTGTTGAGGCTCATTGAGCCTACACAGGCCTTGTTAGGCCTATTTGAGTCCCAGGAATTACTCTGTTGTTGAAAGCCCTCAGTGAAGGTATACATATTTTTGTATGTGAGGATATATATGTTAGGTCTTTTCATATTGTGTATTTTGCTGCCTTTTACGCAGCTTTAAAAATCAACATCTGTTTACATGTGAGTTGGTGTTTATTATAACTCAGCATTTGATCCATTTTGCACTGGCATCTTAGATCACAATTGTTTCGTAGGGCTGAATGCAGCCTGGAAGAGTCTATTGTTTGCATTGGATGGGTTGACTGTATAGTGTTATGAAGAACTAACTGGCATTTCAGAAACTTTTGTATCAGTGGACATATATCTGTCTTATAGATTTCAACTTCTTTAGTCTTTCAGTGCAATCTTTGTTTATAAATGTGCCAGCATCTACCGAAATGTTGCATTGAAGTAGCAAAGAAGTTGAATTCTGTATGTCATGTCAGTCTTCGGTGTTACAAGTTTTTCTTTGAGTGAATATATCTTTTAACATCGATCCAGTGGTATACTGATATGTGTTGTATTTCCCTAAGGACAATATTCTGGTCTAGAGCAAATAGTGGTAAAATTCCATAGTGAGATTAAAAATTCCAGATAATCAAAATTGTTATTTAAGTTTTTCAGAAGCAACTTGTATGTCACTGAAAGGAACAAGAAAGACAAAAAATTAGTTTTATGTAATTATAATGAATATCAAACTGGTGATGAAACCTCTGATTTTGAGATTATCTGAAACTAAGGGACCAAAGGTTTTAAGCATGAACAATGTAATACTTTGTTCCATGTTCACCTAATGCAGATACTTGGGATATAATTCCAGATAAACGTTCTTCTATGTCATGTCAGATAAAATTGTTTAACATTCCAATATTTGGTAATGAACCATTTGATCAACCACAGAGCATGGGATCGGGACATCTTGGTAGTGTGGGATGTTTGGTTTCACAGGAATTATTAATACTTTTATTATGTATTGCCATGGATAGTTTGCATACTGAAAAGAACCCAGTGTAAAACTTGGTCTTGAATGATTCAGTTGAGTCTAGTGATTTAGCCTCCTATAACATGTATACAAATGTCCCAGCGGTCTAAGGTACTGCACTTTGTTGTGTAGAGTTACACACCTGAGTCAACCAGGGACAACCTTTTCATGGGTTCGAATCTGTATTTCTTCCCCATCATTACCCCTTGGTTTGTCAGCTCCATACCACAAACAGTGTCACCTGCTTTCCACATTAATCTTGTTGCCATGGCAATGGTAACTATGACAACAGAAATGGAATTTGTACACATGTATTAATGATGTTAAGAAATATGCCAAAGGTTGATTTGCAAAGGAATACAAATTTGTCCCAAGGGAGATAATCATTTGGGCTTGTAGTGGAGACTATGGCTGGAGGATGGGTATATGTAAAGTATTGGGGATGGTTGATTGTAAGTGTGTTTAGCGTAATCAATACGCCTTTATTAAAACCCTTTCTTGTCATTAGTTATGCCTTCTACACATATCAATTTCAGACTGAAAAAAGCATTTCCATTTTTCAACCTATTTTAGTATGTATTTAGACTGGTTATCGTTATATAATACGGAAACATTTTTGTGATTAAAATATATTTCCTGAATATATATCTTGTACATACTAATTCACATTATTGTTTATTCACGATGACACTAAGTATTTTATCTCTGATTAATGCACTATGTTATTAAAATCAAATCTTTCACTCAAACCCTCTGTGTCAAGATCTGACATTGTCAGCATAGAAGGTTGTATTGAGTGAACTCTGAACTCAAAACTAGTGGAAGGATGTGAGGGTTACCGGGGTTTTGTTTAGCAAATCAGATGTCAGCTTCCTGATACAGTTTTGCTTCATTTCTTTCCCACATTGATTGGAAAATTTAAATATTAACAAAAGAAAACTGTAACACAAATCTGCTTTCAAAAAGCCTTTGAAGCCTAGAGGTCATACTGAGAAACCAAAAAAACCCAAAAAAACCTTCAACATCAGTGTAGGATGAAGTTCGCGTGATGGGTAAGCCTAATTGTTAAAGCGTTGGCTTGTCATTTTTGCCCCACATGGGTACAATGTGTGAAGCCCATTTCTGGTGTCCCCCACCGGATGTTGCTGGAATATTGCTGAAAGCGGCGTAAAACCAAACTCAGTCAGTCAGTCAGTAGGATAAAGTTCAGCATTTTTGCAGTTTGGAACACCCAGAATATTTGTTTTCGAGATAGGGAAATCAGAAAAGATGAAAGTTCTCGCTCACCAAGAATTTAGAAGCCTTGACACTGATTGTCTTATTGACAACTTTACCTGATGAAACCTGTGTGTCAGAATAAGGATATGATTTTAATGAGTTGGATAAATACCACTGTTCTTTTCTCTATGGAATGATTCGTGCAAACATTGATAACTTGATATATATGTGTGACAAATGGAAGAATGTTTTTTTAGTGACCTATTTATATAATGTGTGTATCCACTGGCCATGATGTTAATGTTTTAACATACAACACTTTGCTTTATACTAAAACCCGTGTCTAGTCATGTGAAATCCATTTTTGTATTGTAGTGGTATTTTACTTTACTAAAAACTACTGCAATCTGTATTCAGTACCCCAAATAATACATTAACTTTTGTTGTTTATGTTATTTATTTTTACCTTACTATCTACGGTAATAATGGAGATATCTTTGTTCATGAACGTGATTCTGTCATGGCATTACTTTGTTCATTCAATAATTCAGTATGAAGGCCATAGGCCCATAACCATTTAATTTTCTTTTGTAATTCATGAGAAAGTCCCTCAGTATGTTAATGCATTGGGCCTACCACATCCAATAAGGGTCCAACCATTTAATCTTCTGGGGATGATTTTGAAAAACATTGTTTAAAGAATATAAATATACATTTGCACATAAAGGAAGGCAGTGTTGTTTGGATAATCATGATTGAGATATATGATTAGTATAGACCATCATTAGTGCAACCGTTTTCAAAACTAGAGTAAACTTTTATTCGTAATGTGATGTAGAAACTTTAACTGACGCCTTCAAGGTGCACAAGTGTGACAGGAATGTGTAATGCAATGTTTAACATCAAATGTTTGAGCTCAAATGTCCATTGGTGGTTTGAATGTCCTGGGAATGTGCCATATTATAGGTCCAAAGTGTACAAAATGTATTATTCTTTACTAACTCCGATATGACCATGACATGTTAGAGCTTTAAATATTCTAGGTTATACAGGCAGCAGGGGTGGAAATAGCTTTAAAATTGCTAGTGTACTCCGGTACAGTGGCACATGTAAAATCACTTGCCCTGATAAGTTTTCCACTATACCGGCCGTTTTCTTATTGATTTTATAAATAAACAACATTATTAACTTTGGAAAGTCAACTGGACACCGGTACAGCGTGATATACAAATTTGCTTGCCCGACAGAAAATAACACTGGACTCGGACGTCGGGCAATGGGTTATTTCCACCCCTGGGCAGTTAAAAGTCCCATGTAGGCGTCGTATACCAGGCATTTACAGATCCTCAGTAAGCAATATATACCAGTACAACAGGTTTATTGTTAAGATAGAGGTAAGCATGTAAAAGTATATCTTTGTTAGTCTTAAGTAAATGTATCTATAAGAAGTTTATGGTCTGTAGGTTAGCATTATATATACGTGATTATTGATCAGAGGTATATATTGGAGAATATCAGTTCCTAGGTATAATTTATATAAGAAGTTTATGGTGCCTAGGTTCATGTTAGAGAGAATGACTTTATAGGTTGAAGATATGCATGATGTATTAGGGTTACAAGTTCCTAGGTAAAGGTTATATATAAGGTTATACTGCCTAGGTTAGTGTTATATATTTGGATTTATTGGTCCAAGGTATGCATGATATATTAGAGGTTACAAGTTCCTAGGTTAAGTTATATATAAGGTTATAGTGCCTAGGTTAGTGTTATATATTTGGATTTATAGGTCCAAGGTATGCATGATATATTAGAGGTTATAAGTTCCTAGGTAAAGGTTATATATAAGGTTATAGTGCCTAGGTATGCAGGTTAGTGTTATATTTGGATTAGGTCCAAGGTATGCATGATTATGAGTTCCTAGGTAAAGGTTATATTTAAGTGTTATAGTGCCTAGGTTAGTTCCTAGGTAAAGGTTATATATTTGGATTTATAGGTCCAAGGTATGCATGATATATTAGAGGTTATAAGTTCCTAGGTAAAGGTTATATATAAGGTTATAGTGCCTAGGTATGCATGATATATTAGAGGTTATGAGTTCCTAGGTAAAGGTTATATTTAAGGTTATAGTGCCTAGGTTAGTGTTATATATTTGGATTTATAGGTCCAAGGTATGCATGATATATTAGAGGTTATGAGTTCCTAGGTAAAGGTTATATATAAGGTTATACTGCCTAGGTTAGTGTTATATATTTGGATTTATTGGTCCAAGGTATGCATGATATATTAGAGGTTATAAGTTCTTAGTTGAGTGTCATACAATATAAGTTTATAGTTCCTAGGTTAGCATTATAAAGTAGGACTTTATAGGGTGAAGGTATGCATGATAAGTTAGAGGTTTTAAGAATCTAGGTAAATGTTAATTATATAAATTCCTAGATAAACTAAATATTTTAGTGCATGCAGATTTTGTAGCATGGGAAGGTTTTCCAAAGGAGCATTGTTTATCTATCTTAGTATCTAGTCAAGATGGAGTTGTAAGATTATTCGGTGAAAAATGTAGATATTTTGTCAGTATTCAAAGTCATTATCTTGATTGCATCATGAGTTGTGTACCATTTTAGCTCAAATTTTAACTTTTCAGTATTTGTGACATTTTCAACTAGTTACATATTAATGCTTTAGAGTCATGCATGGATAATCATATTTAATGAGCCCATTTTGTTTTGTTGTATTTATTTGATGGATTGGTTGTTGTACCTTGACATATAATGATATATTCACAGGATATAACACAGCCATGTTATACAGGGCTATATACCAGTAGCACACTGTCTGTCAGAGTAAAATTCCAGTGTGTTTATGACAAGGATGTTAAGGCTGTTGTTGGAACAGTCATCAACCTTGTCTAAGACCTGTCACAGACCCACTTGTGTGTATTTTTATCTGAACATTTTATGGTAAAACATCAATTTGGTTTAAAAACTGATCTAATTTAAAATTGAGAAGATGTTCCAGTGAAGAGCTAAGAGCATTGGCTGGAGAATGGAAGGTCTCTGTTCAATGGCCAATCCATTTCTATGGTGAAAGTGTTTGGATATAGCACTAATAACCAACAGGAAATTGTATTGTTTTAAAAAGGGCATTTTGAAAATATATATTTTTGTTACTCTCACCTATATGTAGATTGTAAGACTATGTGACTAATGAGGTCATAATCAGTGACACTGTAGTTCAGATATTAGTTTCTTGTCTCAGCAACCATCTACACCATGTCAAGCAGCTTCTGCCTTTCAAGCATCCGACACCATCAATGCTTGTAGCACATCATTCCCCCTGGATTATTTCATTGGGGTCCTGATCCACAAAGTGTTTGCAACGTTACGACCTGTCGTAACTTTGTAGTTTATCATTGGTTTACGAATGTCGTAGCGATATGAACGTTTTGTGGATCAGGGCCAAGGAGTCGAATAATATAGTTATAACACTGTTTCCTAGCTAGCTAGTTACATAAAGTTCTTTGATTTAAAAGTTGAAGGGAGTCTGATAGCCATGACACAGACAAGCAGACGTCATTGTATCTGGACGAGACAATGACAATGAATTCTGGACTATAAACCACTTGTGTGTGGAAAGTATGAACAGTGAAACTGTCGGATAGGAGAATGAAGCTCCCTTATTCCTGTCAAGACCCTTGATAAAATGAACTTAGGTTGCAGTAGATCTTGCCATTTACCATCACAACGAAAGTCCTGAAAGCTGCTTCAGGTTCACTTTCTGTACTACAACCAGGCAGCAGCAGCAGACATGAAATCTCCCAAGTGAGCAAGCTGCCTATGTTCTGTATTCATTCAGCTGGTGTATGCAAGCAAGAAACTTGTTTGTGTGACACTTCAGAAGTTGAGACATACAATATAGGACAAGTTTTTATGGATAACAACTTCTTTATTTTATGAGTGTGACATTGCACTCACGAAATGAAGAAGTTGTTATCCATAAACACTTGTCCTATATCAAGCAAGAAACATCTTCCCAAGACTTGAATGCCTAAATATCTCTGTATGTCTATATGTTTTCAAAGAGGTTCTTTGCTGGTGAATATTTCTGGGAGTAATTAAAATGGAGAGAACAGGACTTTCACAGAGTCATGTTCAGGAGATATGTGTCCTTGCTTGAAAGATTTCTGTCACTATTCCTTGATCACTGCTGATTTTCTTTCACTACAGTCAAAGAGAAATAATCTTTGAACCCAGAATGTGTTCCTTCATTGACATGCACAGTATACAATCTGTCTGATGACATTAATTCAAACTGATAAGTAATATGTTAGATTGAAAACAAATTCACACTGTTTTAAATGTTATTTACTAAGAAAATAGTTTTTTTCCATAAAAGGACAGGCTATACAGTTGTTGCTTTGATATATATATGCATCTCATTTGTAGTTGTGATAATACTGTAACCCCTAATAATGATCTTGGACCCTACCTCCTAATTGTAAGAAGGGACCAAATAGAAAATATAGGGGTAGGAGTTGTACTGTATTATGGTAATGGGATTTGGTTGCATTCACTCTTTGCCAGACATCGATTTCCTTCTCAGCACCTAGAAGGAATGTCTTGTAGATATGTGTTTGGAATGCATTTATCTTCCTTCTCAGTTCAATACTTACATCATCGATGTCATGTTATGTATATCATTTGGCTGTGAAACAGTGTAAAGGTCATCATTCAGCAGTCCTGAAAGGCTAACAGCAGCGTTTAAAATTCCCGCCTGCTCGACCGTCCGGAACGGTTTATGTTCATCTTGAACGTCAAATTTCAAAAGTAGCCTGTCCAGTGGTCTGGTAGATATATTTACCCCTAACAGTAAATATTTAATAATATCAGACAGGTTCTCTTGTTGTCAGTTTGAGATGTTTACGGGACTATGAAAATTATGTTAAACTACATACGATTGAACAGTTCAAGTTACGATAACCAATTACAACATGTGTAATTTCAGTTTATTGTTGAAAACTTGACAGGCAAGTTTGTATCCAGACTGGTAATTTTTTAAAGTTACCAGTCCGGCTGTTTGGCATGGAATTTTGGGAGTTTTAAACACTGCTAACAGACTAAATTGTCTTGTGACAATTCCCTTCTCCCTCAGGAAACATATGTATAATATGTACTAAGTGTTTCGGTATGCTGAGTGATGTTTCCGTTGGGAAACTAAATTAATTATTTAAAAGAGACAAGCTTTGTTCTGCATATACCAGTCAAACTCAAAAGCTGCTTAACATGCTACAATGTTTAACATTGAACAGTATCGTGTTCTTTTCAGAAGCATTTATTTCCACTATTTTGTATAAACAATGGGCCATCTCCTTTATTTATGTGGTGAAGCTGTGAAGTGAAGGAATTCACCTATAGTAATATAGATTAGATAACGAGGGCCTATCCATGGAAGTTAGTTGTCAGCGGAAGGTAGTGCTTGATGATGACCTTTATGAGAATACTGTGATGTTGTAAGTCTGTTGTTGTTAATACTACTAATAATAATAATTGGCTTGTATAGCGCCTAGTTTCCATCATAGATGCTCAACGGTGCTGCATACATCGTTAATTAATACTGGGCCTCTGGAACCATTATGTGGTATCTGGTCTGCTGCATGTTGAGATTAACCCTTGTTTACCCATGCTCTGATGTTTGCTGTGTGTAGGTGGTCCACTAATATCCTACCTGTATCCAGGTAATATTGTTAGAGTCTGTCAAGCCCTGCTTCAAAAGATGTATGTTTTGCGAAAGAATGGGTCCAAAAATATAACTTCTTTCAACAATAATTTTTTTAGGACATTCAGCTTGTCAACCAAACAATCATTTTTCTGGAATATTTTTTCTAAAAACATCAAGGGTACCCCTAGAATGTTGAGGTGTCTGGCCTTGCAGTTGTGTATGCAGACTAACCTACTCCTGCTCTCATTTGTGCCAAACCAGTATTGGTTGACAGAATTACCTGTTATGGTTTAGTTGAGTGAAAACTCCTCTGTTGGCTAGAGAAGTGTAATTGATCAGTGAAAGGTTGCTGGAATGGTATTCAAAAAGTCAATCTTCTGCAGAAATTCTGCAGATTTGATTCCTTTTATTGTGAAATGTGATTGTTTGCCTGTCCCCATGAACTTTGAGAAAATGTCTGTAAAAATGAGTATCGCTGCTGACAAGTGCCAGAATAATGCTTTAATTGCTGTAAAACTATGTTTGTTTACTGGCTTTTCCATTTTGTTCTCTCTTTAGAGAAAATTTCACAGAAACATAACCAGGTATGTTTGAAGCAAATCCAAAAACATGAAAGTATAATTTCAACCCTTGACCAAGTGTGTTTGAAACAAATCCAAAAACATGAGGTTGAAAGTGAAGCTGCTCACTGATCTGTCTACTTCCTGTACGAACCATGGAGATACCAAACTGGCGGCAACACCATGTAGAGAATTTCCCTTATTTAGTGCCTTTCTCGTGGGTATGTATAGTTGCTGCAAGCTTTGTGTTTTTTGTGTAATGTATATATGTGTTACACTGTTGATATAGAATCTTTACTCTAACTTATGCATAATATCTCTGTATTTGTGTTCCTTATGATCTTTGCATGAAGGTGTACACAGCACTAGAGGAGGATGTGTACATTCCACTCTCACTCTTCTGTATATGCTGTAAGAAGTTCTTGTGATGCTGGGGCGGTGGGGTAGCCTAGTGGTTAAAGCGTTGGCTCGTCACGCCGAAGACCCTGGTTCGAATCCCCACATGGGTACAATGTGTGAAGCCCATTTCTGGTGTCCCCCGCCGTGATGTTGCTGGAATATTGCTAAAAGCGGCATAAAACCAAACTCAGTCAGTCTTATGATGCTTTGAAAACTGACAAGCAAGGGGCATGTAGTAATGCTCTTCGTAACAAGTTAATCTTGCGAGGTAGAGTGATAGTGACCAGATATAGTTCAAATGTCAATGAAACCAAATGGATTTGATAATAGTAACAAATATATCCACTTTCTTCACTGCTGTTTCTTATAAATATATGCAAGAATATACAGACTGTTGTGTAAATTTCAGTCTTATTAGGTGGTGCTCATAAAGTTTATTTGCTCGTCACACCAAAGACCCAGGTTTGGTCTCCACTTATGTGATATTGCTGGAATATTGCTAAAAGCAGCTTAAAACCATCCTCACTCACTCACTCATAAAGTTTACCTACATATTACCGAGGAAGTCGCTAATTGGTGTAGGGCGCTTGACATGGCAGTTATGACAGGGTTTTCAAGCAGTGTGTTTTAAGTAAGAATTACATATATATTTTATAATGAACTGTTCCATAGAACTCTTCCAATTCTGGGACGTTTCATCTACTGTTCTTTCTTCTCCTCGATACTCTCTTCCATTATTCTGCCTCCTTCCTCCATAACCTCTACCTCAAACCGTTTGGAAACACCTTAATGAAACACCCTTGTTCAAAACACTATGACATTGATGATAACAGTTTTATGGCATTCTACTATTCACTAGATGAGCATTTAGTATCCTTATCCAATCAAATCTCTTCACACATAACTTAAACCCAATCACAAATGAAATATAGTGTATTCTGATTTTCATATTAAAATTCTATGTGTGGGATAATCATTATGCAATCCCTGTCTTTCTTTAGTGATATATACCAGCTGTATATGGTATAGTTATCTTGTTGACATCCCTCCTTACTAAATTTCCAGGTATATGTCCCAGGCAGCCTCAATATCCAAGAGTTATTTTTCTCTGTCTCATGTACTTGTATATTTCAAAAACATGACAAAATTTACATCACAAAAAATCAGCATCCCTCTTATGGTCTATCATCCTGTATTTCCGTGATGCTTGCCTCACAACTGAATATGTTTCAAATGAATGGTATAGTTGCCATCATGGCCATTGTCTCCTGACAGTTGGATAATCTTGTGGACATAGGTTTTGCTGGTGATGCTGGATTGTCAGGTTTCATTCCCCATGTTTGAAGCACATTTCTGTACCCCCTGCCATGTTATTGTAGGACTATTGCTTAAACCTTTCTGTCTCCTGCCTTAATTGCTGTAAATCTTAATTAAGAACAATACTGCAAAACATTTGCATTTAGTATCCATGGTCATGATTTCATGTTATGTTTTAGTATGAATAGCTGCGAAATTGCTGATGTTGCTAAAAGCAACATTTAATCACACAGTCTATGTCATGTGGAGCCAAGTGGCAGTAAATCTGATTGTCTTTAGTTTTTCTCTGCATCCCATTGTCTGCTCTGGTTCTGTCTGTCCACTGAAGTTAAAGGAGCCACTGACCTTTGGCTACTGTAGTTTGTTAGCAGAGTTGTGTCCCTTCATCACAACAGGTCATGGCTGGTTATTGACATCAGACAAATATTTCCCCAATAATGATCTTAGGTTTACTAAAACCTTACTATGCATGTTATTTCCATCTTTACAGCACATGTTTTACCTTGGGTTTTCTCACATAAAGTTACGTGTCATGACATGACTCAACTGTGTCGAAAGGCCATTCAATACGGGGGCGATGGGGTAGCCTTGTGGTTACAATGTTTGCTCGTCATGACGAAGACCGTGTTTGATTCCCTACATGGGTACAATGTGTGAAGCCTATTTCTGGTGTCACCCCAGCCGTGATATTGTTGGAATATTGCTAAAAGCGGTGTATACATCCAAACTGGCATAGGAAGTTATCAGCATAGTCATTTTTTCAGAATATATAATTTTCTATTTCTTATATTTCCTGGTTGCAGTAGAACATCTTGACGTTGTAAAGTTATTCTTGGATGTGTGTCTGTTTGTCTTTAAAACACTGTGCCATACAAGTGATAGATGTTTCTAAACTGTGAGTTTGATTCCCCACAAGGGTCCAATGGGTTCTTGTACCTGGTGTCCCCGCCATTAAAAGAAGCAGTATAAAACCAGCTCACTCACTGCTAAGACAGGGTCACTCATTAGGGTTTAAATACATTCTCCTATTTTGTTAAGTTAATTCAGGCGTGTCATCTCATGTATTGACATCAATGGGTTGGGTAGTCCTGTGGTTACGGTGTTTGCTTGTCACTTCACAAACAAGGTTCAATGGTTATCAGGTGTAAAGCTATTCTTGGTGTCATGATATTACTGGAACAGCTAAAAGCAGTGTACAACCTCATTCACTCACACTCCAGTTATAGTATTGTTAATTTATTGTCTTGTTAGCTCTGAGTGTGGCAAAAGGGTTATAACATTCCGACATTTGCACGTGTAAAGAGTTGTTTAATGAGACACAGTGTCATCCATTCTTCATGATGTCACATTACGTCTCTTTAACGTTAGGTTGACTAAATAGATGTAAATTTGTCTTCATTTTCTTTTAAACGACCACTTAGACATGGTTATCTGTTCCTGAAAATATGTAAATGAATGCTGTTATTCCCTTTGCTGAAGGCTCAGGGATAAAAAAAATTCCTTCTTGCAAAACAGACATTCCGTATTCTTCTATTTGCTGTAGCTCACTTGAAGTTTGAATAATTGTAACAAACTTTGGGAAATATAGTTTTTCGTCACAACACACTGTATCAACCTGATAATGTTATAGGTATGGTCTCCCATTTATATCATAGATCTCCCCATTGTATATGTCTGATCTATCATTTATCTCATAGATCTCCTCATATATGTCTGATCTATCATTTATCTCATAGATCTTCCCATGATATATGTCTGATCTATCATTTATCTCATAGATCTTCCCATGATATATGTCTGATCTATCATTTATCTCAT